ATCACAGAAAGTATTCGCCTGGGCGACCCACTGCCAGCAGCCCTTAGAGGAGCAGAGGGCCTTTCGGATCCTCGCTCATAAAGTTCCCGTGCCGGGGCCGCGGGCAGGCGCGGGGAGATGGAGCACTCGGGGAGGGTCCGCTTGCTCCGGGGTCTTGCTGCTGGGAGCGGAGCCGTATAGCTCACATGCTCATTCCTACGAATGGGACGTAAAGTCACCGATGAGCTGACCCAGACTGAACCCAGCCCAGTATATGGAGCATATGGTTTTATTTTCTGCTGTGCTCCCGGTGAGGTGGTGGTTGCCTGTTTCTGTGGCTGATACTCAAGAGCATTGGAAAGAGTTGAGGAAAGCTCGGGGGTGTTTCAGCATTGATATAATTGCAGTCGATTCTCTGTTACATATTTAGATTATCTGGGTTACCTGTTACCGCAATACTGACGGTATTGAAAGCTTCTTTCCTCAGAGGGCTGGAGCACCTCTCCTGTGAAAAAAAGCGGAGAGAGTTGGGCTTGTTCAGCCTGGAGAAGAGAAGGCTCCGAGGAGACTTTATAGCACCTTCCAGTACCTGAAGGGGCTACAAGGAAGCTGGGGGGGACTTTGTACAAGGGCCTGTAGTGACAGGACAAGGGGTAACAGGTTTAAACTGAAAGCAGGGAGATTTAGATTGGATATCAGGAAGAAGTTCTTCTTGGAGAGGGTGGTGAGGCACTGGCACAGGTTGCCCAGAGAAGCTGCGGATGCCCCATCCCTGGAAGTGTTCAAGGCCAGGCTAGATGAGGCTTTGAGCAACCTGGTCTAGTGGAAGGTGTCCCTGCCCATGGCAGGGGGGTTTGAACTGGATGGTCTTTAAGGCTAACTTCTGAAAGAGGTGGTGGAGTTCACCTGACGTTCCTGTCAGTCATATGTTTCACAGGTAGGCAGGACCGCTCAGAATGGTCTGTGCTATGGCTGAGTAATGAGGTCACAGTGGGGGAACTTCTTCGAAGAGCTAGAGCTCTTAATTTTCAATGAGAAGTTAAACTGTACGGAAGGCACAGCACTGCTGAGGTCATGTGTGCAGATGAGCTTGGATGAGCACATTATTCTTTGGAAGTGGTCCTTCTTTAGTTTTTATTGTTAGCTACCTTGAAGGGGAAGAAGAGCATGCTGTACTTGGCTGGTAATAGGAGGATATCTTTAGAGAGGGAGACACTGGCAAATGAATTGTTGGAAGAATAGTAAATAAAAATAACTTTGACTAAAAGAGGTAAGATTGCTGGGTGGTTTCCTGTCTGACGGAGCTGCGCTTACTTGGGCCCAGATTGATGTAATTTCCACTGAAATGGATCTAGATTATCTAGAATGGGAAAAATTGCAACCATTTTAACGACAGCAGTGTGAAAACTGCATAACTCAGACAGAAAGGCTAACAGGACTTGCGTTAAAGTAGCACATCTTCAGTGAGTGTTTGCAACGTTGCTAATCCAAGCTCCTGCACCGTACGTGGGGACAGCACGTACCCTAAAACCAAAGCCCTAAAACCAAAATCTTTTTTAAGGTAGCTTTAATGTAGCGAAAACCTTCAGTTTTGTGCACTGTGGTTGCTAATACAGTAGATTCAGGTTTTAAAATAACCTTGCTTGGATGATTGTTATTTGCCAGTTGTGAACAGTGACAGCAGGGCACGTAAAGTTGAAAAACAGGAGACACAGTCTTGAAAGTACTTTCTGAGCGACCAGGATAAGAAACTTGCTCTAAAACCTTTTGGTCAGGGTCCTTTGTCAAATGGACGAAGGACTGCCTAGGGACTCTTTAAAAAGCCCACAATGTATGAAAAGCAACCCCATGGAACTCTGTGTTCCCTAGACACGGCGAGGAACTCCTCAGCCATCTTTATAGGCAGCAGCTGACATCCCCTGGGCATAAGCCTGATGCCTCTGCAGAGTCAGTGCTGTGTGTGAGGTTAAGCCTGCTTCTTACTGCTACGTGTGTAGCATATAGTTCTGTTAGCAAACTTCATTAATTTTAATATTTCAATGAATATTAGATCGGTGAATCAGTGTTTCATACTGAAGCGTAACATTACTGCCAAATCCAAGTTAAATTTATAATTAATGCTTACTTAACTAGACATACTGCTTCCTATGTAGCATTTTTGCATATTTCCTTTGCCCAGCTCTACTTCCTCTCTTACTAACCAAGCGTGATGGTAGACAATTCAACTAAAATGTTTACAATTTTGTGTCTGAATGGAGAGCGATGCAGTAGGGATAATTGCTTTCAAATTTCTTGATCCAAAGAGGAGGCACTTAATTTAGAACTAGGCTTTTTGACTGGCAGACCACTGAAAATTTTTCAAAAGTAACAGTAACCTTTTTGGAGCAAATTTGAGCTTACTGATGATTAACTTTCGAACGCAGTTTTTCTTGAAATTACTTGAGAGTACTTAATAGGCCATAGTTTGAAAATAGCTGTAGTAGTTTTTTTTCGCTACCTTATAACAGTATGCCATTATAATTTTCCTTCCCAGAAGTGTATTTGATGTCATGAATATAGTGAAATTTTATTTTCTGTGCAGTACTTCCCTTCTGTAATGTGTGATTTTGACTAGAATGTGAATTTTTGTACTGTTAATAGTGAAAATATTCTTTGCTGTTAAAATTCAGACACCATACTTCAGGACTAACTGTAAGGAAAGCATTTTCATTGTGATTGCTCAGGCCCTTGGGTTATGTATTTTAATTTACAAATGAACTGGTTGACTAGAAGCTTATTCTATCAAAACAAACCCTAGTAAGGAACAAAACTATTGGTAAAGTGTGGCTTCATTTCAGAACAACCAAAAAGCCTTGCCAGTTACGCTTGAGGATTTGCACGTGACCTCTGTTGCAAAATTAGTTATGATGCCCTCATTAAAAATATCTCTCAGACTTGATGCTAAAAATAAGCCAGAGGGATTTATCAGAATTGTCTTAGTATTCATCTCATCTGTGATTTCTATGAAATCTGTGTTCCTTTGATTCAAGATAGAACCTTACTGTAAGAAGGTTACTGTAAGAAGATAGAACCTTACAAGTAAGAACTACACCGAGTTGCCTTCCAATTAGTGCTTAGAGTAGGAACCAAGGTTTGCTGAAGAGAATATAACAAAAACAAAGAAGAAAGCAGGGAATAGAGGCAACTGCATGAAGACATTTTGGTGGAAACATGGAATTTTTCTTTTTCATTGAGACTTCTTCTGTACCATAGGTGGCTTCAGACAGGAAGAAATGCTAAAAATATGGAAGGGCCTGTTCTATTGTATGTGGATGCAGGATAAACCTCTGCTACAGGTATAGTAACTGAGTTTGTATTTGATTGAGTGGGTCTCCCCTAAAATGTGCTGTAGGGACATACTGATTTAGAATAGCGAAAATTCCCTTAGTGAGTTTTGCTCAGCTTTGGGTTTTTTTTTCCTTCCCCTGCTGCTCATACTTGACATATGCAGGAGAGGTGACTAACTCGGTGATCCTCACCACATGAACAGAAGCCTCAGTGGCATCATGTTGGGAGTCACCCTCTGAGTGGCAGCTGTAGCTGTTTACCTTCCAAACCCAGAACCAAAACACATATACCGTTACAAAATGCAGTGATTTGTTGGAACTCAAGCAGGAACAGCAGGATGCCATTAACTGCAACTACAACATATCTGCTGCCTTGAGTTAGCCCCGTTTCCAAGTTTCACGCTTCCTTTGCTTTGTCAGTTCAGCGGCACTTCCTTTACTGCTTTGTCTCTACGGCTGACTTCTGTCAACTACTACCAGTTTGTCTCCATACGTTAAAAAGATACCGGGTTTGGAGTACCAAATCTGAGTAACCTCATTTATTCAGTTTTCAAATCACTTGTCTGTTTGCATGAACAAGGTTTATCTCACACAGAGAGATAAACACCTACAATTAACATATATGAAAACAGTGCCCCAAAAGTTTTACATCATTTGTTAATTTGAATAAATGGGATTTTTCTCCTCCTCATTTAATTTTGTCAGAGGTCAAAAAGATGATTTGTGCAGAGATCTGGTGAGATGAACAGAGCTTGATACCCTTGAGTCTTCTCTTACCACTGACCTAATCCCAGTGGAAGGGTAACTGAACTGTAGTAGTAAAGCAGCTGTTAAGAGAATAATTCTGAGGGATGTTTCATGATGTTCGTACTTCTTGCTGGTTTCTGGTTGCATGTTTAGTTAGGAGACCAAGCTCTGAAACATGCTATCCTAACCATATTTATTTACTTCCAGGAAGAACTGGCAGGCAATATCTCACAGCTTATCCAGGTGATTCATAATACAGAGGCTCGTAAGTACTGTTGTGTTATGTCACACTTTGAAAGGTACTTTGATCTTTGGTGATTTTGAGGCCGCTGTCACAGTGCCAGAGACAAGACAGCCAGAAAGGGGTGCTGCTTCAGGTTTTTTTTACTTTGCTGTTTGTCTGCCTGGTGTGTGTGATTGCATTAAGGGAAGCATGCGATGCGGGTTTGTTTCTGGTTGTTGCAGGGGAAGCGTTGTCTCTCCGGGGTCATATAGGTGACATGCTGCAGGCTGGGTAGCAAAACAAACTCGTCCCCTTACTTTGCCGTTCTGAATAGATTTACTTGTTCTGTGTATTTCCTTCTCTAAACTAATTTAGTTTCGTGAGCTGTTGGAGCACTCAGTATTCAAAGTTTCAGGAGCTGTTGAGCCCTCAGAATTCAAAATTCTACCCATGCAAGTTATGGCACTGACTGAGCACTTGAAATGGAGTGCTCAGTCAGTGCCAAAAACTTGCATGGGTAGAGATGAGTGCAGAGTGGATGTTTTACTCTAACTTGTATCTATTTTGTGTTTCATACACACAAAGCTCTCCCTGTAATTACACTTGCCTTTAAAATGAGCTGCATGCCTTTTCTTGTGTTGTTGTGAAGTTTAAGTGACTTGCCCTTGTACGTGTCTCAAGCCTGTCTTCCCATAGCTCTGTCCCACTCAGTAGGCAAATCCCTAGGGCAATGCAGCCCTTTCTGACGTTGAAGTGATTTCTTGAGGTTCTTTTAGGTTAGCAAAACACACCGTTGTGCCAGCCATGCAGATGTTTTTTTCTACTCTCTTGCAGGACACCTGTTCATTCAGACATTTTGGCAAACTATGAACCGTGAATGGAATGGGATAGACCATCTGCGGCTTGATAAGTACTACATGGTAATACATACTAACTCTCCTGTAGATCTTTTCTGCGGGAAGAGGTGTGGTGGTGTGCTGGAAGGCAGCTTCGTCTGCGCGTGCATTTATGTACGTTGTAAGAGAAGCGACTGTCTGCTTGATGCATTGCAAGAGATACTTGTTTTAAAGGCTGTCACTCACCACTGCAAATCTAAGAGTTATGACGGTTTATGGTAGCCTGCCAGCTTTCTTGTTTGCCTTTCTTTGTAATGTAGTGATGTTTCTCATTGATTTCCGTGTGGAATATAAATACTGCTCGTGGACTTTTCTGGGCTAAGGATGTGAAAATAGTTTATTGTCTTTAAGGCTTTACAGCATCCTTCTGTTGCTTGACATGACAGGCAAGTCTGTCAAAATGTTCATATGAGGGAGCTTTCTAACTTGTGCCCCGAAGAGGTTTACTAAGAAGTCTATTCATATTACTGTAACTCCTTTATCTGTTTTCATGAACAACATGTATAACAAATTTTGTCCTTTGCAGCTAATGCGTATGATTTTGAGGCAGTCCTTTGAAGTGCTGAAAAGAAATGAATGGGATGAAAGGTAAGCAGATTTCTGAATGAACTTGCATCAGAAAAAGGTTGTCCCATTTCCCTTTATCAAATTTGTTTTCGTTCAGTAGATCTTTTCTCTCCCTAGATGGTGCTGTCATGACGTCTTAGCAGGCTGAGTGTTCTTCAGATCACTTAGTGATACGTAGTTTAGAAATGTAAACTGGCTTCCTGTTTGTTGTGTACACCAGTGGGTTTGGTTGTATTTCTTTCCTATTCTATCAGATGGGAAGCAATTGAAATCATCTTGCTCTGTAGAGCTCTTGTACCACTTTGTTTAAACTGATGAAGAGCTTGAAGTCTTTTAATTAGAAGTGCTTGATAACCTAGTGTTAAGGTTGTCCTTTCTCTGTCTTGCCTTCTGAAATGTGGAATGTGGACAGGCATGAAAATAGGAATGCAAAGCTAAAGTACACCCCATCCCCTCTGTCCTACCTTAATTCTGCATCAGGTAAGGGCCCAGAGGTTGAAGAGATAAAAATGCTTCTTGACAGGAACAGAAGGTGTGGGAGGAGGTTTGATAAAGCCAAAGCCCTTCTTCCACACACATACCCATGGCAGAGACGTGGTCACCCAAACTGATCCCTGATGAGGTTTCTTGTGGCTTTGGCCTCCCTTTTTCCAGCTCAGTGGAAGGAAGGCCTGGAGGCTCGTCACCATCAGAGGAGGAGGGGTGGGAAGAGTAGGATCATGATCCCTTTCTTGAAAAGTGAGGTCAAGAGCTGCCTTTCCCTCCTAGGTGGAGCCTAGAAGCTGCCTAGCATGTCTTCTCTTTCTCTTTTCTTTTAAAATGCTTCTGAAGAAAGGAATATTAAAGTAAATTGGGAATAATCATTTTGGAATGCTTTCATTTCTCTTTGGAATGGGAAATGTTCGTTCTGGGCAAAATTTGCAGAGTTCCCACAGAACACCAGGGGAGAAAGCATGGAGTATACAAAGCCATACTTTCCTGAAAGGTAGCACAGATAGGCCTCGGGGGGAAAAAAAAAAAAAAAAAGAAAAAATCGCCCTAGTGCCACTTAGATGCAGCAATGACAGCATGTCTGCCTGAGCCATGTCACTCCCACAGTAACAGAACAGAGCCACGCTCCTACTTGTGCACAGCTCAGTCACTTCTGGCTTGAGCTATTGGGATGATGATTTTTTTTATGCCCGGCTTAGCCCTTGGTCTGTTCTTCAGCGTCATCGTTTTGCTCTAAGGGACAGTGGATAATGTGCTCCAACAAAGGCAAAGTCTTCACAGTTGAAATGAGTTTGAGAATGATCAGTATTAAATGTAATACTTGAGCCGCACCAAAATTAAAATCATCTCGTAAAACAGAAGGGTATGGGATGTTGCCCATCAGGGATGGATGAATGCGACAGCCATGCCCTCAGAACACCCTGCTCTAATGGCAGAATCCCTTCTCCTGCCCATTAATCACATGGCATAATAAACTTCAGTCTAAATTAAAGTGTGAATTTTAAAATAGTGATTTTCACTGTAGCGAACTGCGTTGAGTGGAGTGTCTGATGCTACAAAATCACCTAAACTATAAGGAGTTCTGATTATGGATGGAATTTTTTTTAAAGTTTTCTTTAAGACGTGAAAATTGGTCACTGGATTTCTCTCTGAGTGTTGGATACCTGTCTTAAAGAACTGGCAAAACTGTGACTGACCAGAGTTTGTTTTCAAAGCAAATAGAACATGAGCAATTGAATATTAATATCTCGTCCTTTTTTCCTGTCTTTTTTTTTTTTTTTCCCCAGTCTAATTGAACCATTTCTGAAGCTATTAATGAAAGAAGTTATGGACCCGGGCAGCAATGCTCCCACTGGGATAAAGTTGCATTTCATTGATATCTATCTGGATGAACTGGCCAAAGTTGGTGCAAAGGAGGTTAGAAAATATTTTGTAATTTTCTTCCTGGTTCAGGTTAACTGTAGGTTGTAACATTTTAGAAGTAACACAATTTTTAGATTATGTATGTTGTAAGAGTTTTAAATGTAACACAGCAACATTGAATAAGCATGAAAAAAGTGACCTATTACAATTTATGGTTTTACTTTTATTCGTGTCGTTGTGTAGACAGTGAGATTGTAGTGGTTTCTATGAAGTTCCAGAGTGCTGGTATACTGCTCCGAATTGAGGCTAGAAACAGCGATAGAAAGTTAGACCATTCTCACTTGTTTCAACAGAAAGGACTTAACATCTTTTCCCCTGTGTGAATGTGTTTGCTAGTCTTTGCTTTTGCAGAAACTGACGTATAGCCTGCTCTTGGCTGGTTGTTTAACTCCTAAATAGAGGAAGAAAGTGAGCTTTCAAAGTTGCCGGCTATTTGCTTGTTGTCGGCTTCAGACCTCATTGGCTGCGCCTTCAGCAATTTACCCTCTACCTCCTGTTGTTCGTTTCATTGATGACGTTTGTCTTTCTCTGCTGTATCTGGCTGTTGCCCTTAATTTTGGGTGATGTTATGGTGATGCAGAGTTGTACAGCAACAGAAAGACTGTTACAGCAGCCGTCCCTGCCGAATTCTTTCCAAAGGGTCTATCTCCTGTGACTCCACTAGGGCAAGTTGTCTGCCGCCCCACACTTGGTTCCAGGCTTCTGCTCATGTACCTCCCCTTGTTTCTGGCATCTGATACATCTCCTTGCTATGGACAAAGCTGTTAGCAGTTTTCTCTTTGGATTCTTTGCAGTCAGTATCAAAAGCAATCCTGCCTGCAGCTTTTGTGGTTCTGGATTGCTGAGTGTGAGAGAGAAGACGTCTACACATGAGAATTGCCTGCACATGGAGCTCCACAGTCACAAAATTGTGGCTAAGCCACTCACAGGAAGCACAGGGAATTTTTCCCCTAGACTATTTGAAATCACAGATGATGCTCATAAAGTGAATTTAGGGAAGGATTTTTATCTTTAGTGCTACTGTAGCTGACAGGGTTTTTGTCCAAGCAGTTCAGTTAAGAGAAACCCAGATCTTCCTCATGTCTGCTACAGACCTTCTTTGTGAAAGTGCTCAAAGTTATATCAGTTTTCTATGCCTCATGTTTCTGTACCTAAAATAAGGAGGTTAGTTATATTTCTGCACTCAGCAGATTAAAGTCTGCAAAGCAGTCAACATTTTTATAATACTTCCAAGGAATATCTGAAAGTTAGTGGTAGCGGTAGTAACAAAACGTCACTGGATACTCCTGTCAGTTAGAATTAGATAATATGCTGAAAGACTTTGACTTAACTTCTTGAAGATGATCCCTCTGCAGCGTTTGAGGAATTTGAGTGTACACAGCCAGTATTCACTGTACTCATTACTTTTGTCTTTCTAATCATACAGCTCACAGCAGACCAGAACCTCAAGTTCATTGAGCCTTTCTGCAAAATTGCTGCCAAATCAAAGGAGTAAGTTTAATGAAAGCCTAAGTGTTTTTTAAGAATTAAGAAATTCTGCATATAATACTCCACGTGTTAATAAATATATTGAAGAAGAATCATACTGTAACGTCAGAATCTAGAGAAATAAGGATATTTTACTAATGATGTGCGCAGTCATTTGAAGATAACTTGTGTTTATCAAAGCTATAGATAATCTTGCATTTATAAGAATTATATCAACCTCTGATGGTGGTTTTTTCAGTTATGTGGGGTTTTTTAAACGTGCATAGAGCAGCTGAGCTGGTTAGATTCTTTGTTGTTGCAGTGTGATATAGAGCAGCATATAAACACAGTGAAATTTAAGAGGGGAACATTGTCAGGATACTGTTTTGTTTAAAGGATTTCTGCTTAGGACATTAACAGATTTGCTTTCTTCATCTGGAGAGCTAGATGCTCTTCCACTTTCTCCGTTACTACCCTTTTTCCCAGTGTCCTTCAAATTTCCGTGTTTTTAATGTGAGAGGGGAGGGTGTGTATGCTTCTGCCTCTCATCCTTGCTCTCTCGTAACACAGCCGATGCGTACTGCATGCCATAGCCACTGGTATCTTTGAGCTCATTGTGGATCAGTCCCCCTACGCCATTGAGGACCTCATGAAAGAACTGGGCAGCAACAGTGATGAAGAGGATGTGGCTGAAGAAGACAAAGAAGAAAATGAGGATGGGCTTAAAACCAAACGTGAGGAGGAAGTTCTAAATGGCCTCGGTAACACTTGCTGAGATTTAAAAATCTGTTTCTTAAAAATGCCTTTCTGTTCTGAACCAGTCAAACACCTGTTCAAGGTGGTGTGAGGATGATTGTGTCTTCCTGTCTTCCCTACAGATGTGCTTAAACAAAGCAACTCCAAAAGAACATGCCACAAAAATCAGTGCTCTCTACAAATATAAGCAGGCAATATTGGCTTTCTGCAATAGTGCTAGATGATAACCCCATCTGGCTTTTGGCTCTTGGATACCCATGACATTTTTGAAGAAAATGAGGTTTTGGGCATTCTGTGGAAGATATTAAATTTTTAAAAATTCAAGGGAGGTTTCTCTAATCCAGATAAACTCTGATACAGAGGCAATTTTTTAAAAGGGGCTCAGATAATGCCACAACTGTGTATTGCATAATGATGGCATAAAGTAGGTAAATCAGTCCGGGCTGACAAGATCACATAAAGAAAAATGCACCTGCTCTTCTGTCTGTCAGAGTAGTGTGTTCTGTCTCAATTTTTATAAACTAAACATTAATATTCAGTCTTTTTTTGCAACAGCAGACAGGTGTTTGTCCAGAAAAGCACTGCAGAGCTCTGAAAAAACAGAGGATGTTTCTGAAAATGCTGATGATGGTATCGGGACTGTTCTTCAGGTCTGTGGCTTGCTTGCTCTGCTATTGATACTCCAACCCTGTTTTCTTTTTTCTCATCCTTTTCAAGAGTTACAGATGTAAAGGGTGTTAATCGGATAAACGTTACAAAAGTTTAATCTCTTTCTGCTTTAATGTAAGGTGATATTTATGCAGTGTGTACTCTGTGAGTAGTTTTTAAGGAAAGAAATCCATGTCTAAATTCTTGAGTTCTTTCCTCTCTGCCATGCCTTCTTTTTTCTGCTCCTCCCTTCCTGTTTCAAGAGTTGAGAAATGTGCCGATTGTTCACCACCCACAGTGACTTGGCTTTTACCGTACAAGTTTCATGGACAATAAGAGCAAAAGTAATGGATGTTGGGATACGTAGGAGAGAGGGTAATGTGTTGCAATTTGGCTTTTTTTTAGGCCCGCTTCCAGTGCAGTGTAGTGCTTTTTGACAGACCCACCCATCAAACACATGTGCCAAGTAGATATATTTCATGTACCTGGCTTTTAAGCAGGAATTAGGACATAACACACTTCAAATATATCTAGCTAAGCATTTGCAGGAGTTTTGAACTTGGTTGGCTTCTCCCTTGAGTTAGAATTAGGGTTAGGAATATTTAAGAAAGTGGTACTGAATTCAGCTGTACTGTTAATGAAGCAGCCATCTGCAAAATTCAGTATACATGTGTGAAGGGGGTGTAAATTACAACAGAGAAATAATACCTTGGGTTTAAAGGAAGAGGTGTGGGAAGTGTTGATAACATGAGTTGCATTGGGTCATCTTGCCTGAATAAACTAACTAAGAAAAGCTGTATCATACTTTCCTCCAACAGTTTGATTATAAGGCTGTTGCTGACAAACTCTTTGAATTGGCGAGCAAGAAAAATACACCTTCCCTTAACAGAAAGCGCCTGTACAAGCTGGTCAAGAAGTGAGTGCTGTTGAAATATACTTTGCATGTGCCACCTTGTCCTCGACAATTTTTACTTTGCTTTCCTAGAATCACAGAATGGTGTGGGTTGGAAGGGACCTTAAAGCCCATCTAGTTCCAACCCCCCTGCCATGGGCAGGGACACTTTCCACTAGACCAGGTTGCTCAAAGCCTCATCCAGCCTGGCCTTGAACACTTCCAGGGATGGGGCATCCACAGCTTCTCTGGGCAACCTGTGCCAGTGCTTCACCACCCTCTGTGTGAAGAACTTCCTCCTGATATCTAATCTAAATCTACCTTCTTCCTCTCCACCCTGGCTTGTCCTGGTGAACGGGCTTGTCTCACAGCCCTGGGTGACATGTGTAAGGTCCCTGAAGCCTGTGCTACTGCTGCTCCTTGGTGCTAGACAGCTGCAGCCAGCTGAGCTGTATCTGCACTGGATGGATATGTACTGCAGGATGTGACATTTGACTGTTTGTGATGCAAGTTACAGATACAGGAGAAGTGTTAAATCGCTATTTTCTCAATACATCCAGTAATCTGGTCTGAGTTCTTAGATTTCTGAGGCAGATCTGTTCTGGAGTAAGTTCTTTGTAACTTCCTGTGCAAAATACAGTGTTCCTATTTTGACAAAACCATAGTAAATACAGTGACACTGTGCTGCTAGTGTTATTATTGGTACTAAACGAGTAATACTGTTTTGTTCTTTGCTTCTCTCCCTTTCTCCCACACCTCCAGGTTCCAGGACTTAGCAGAAGGTAAGGACTGAGCAGCATACAGCGCCAGTATTTTCTTTCCATTGAAGGATGTATAATGTTCCAAATCAATGTGTATTGCAAAATATTTTTTTTTTTAATGTGTATTTCAGGAATACTGTTTTGGGTGGGGTTTGGGGTTTTTTTTGGATTGTGGTTTTTTAATCTCATTAAGACACATTACATGGTTTTGGTGAGATGGCCAAACTTCCTTCACAATTTGAGCCACGCCGTACTTTGTCCTTAAATGAAAGATGATTATTTTTAGTTAAATAGTAATCACTCGTATGATTTTCTTTTGGGTGGAGTGGAGAACAAGGAGTTGATTTCCTTTCTGTGGGAGTTGCGCTGTGTATGAACAGCATACATGTTCATAGAAGTAGACCTGTTAGTTTTCAGATACCTTATCCTTCCTTCTCAACAGGAATCTTCCCCCAGGATATTCCCGAAGATGTTTCCACAGATGAAGACGATGATGAATTCAGCAGGGGGAGGCGAAAGAGAAAAGCTGTCAAGCCTTGGGAGAAAAACAAGTTGGAAGAAGCAGAAGGTAAGGCAAGACCAGCCTTTGGAATAGAGAGAGTCTGCAGTCACTTGTGTAAGTTGGCAAAGTATCAGATGGAAGCTGTTGTGAAGAAGGCAAACCCATTGTTCAGGATGTGATGATTTGTATCGTGTTGTGGTAACGTCCAAATGTGAAGTTAAGGTCTCTTTGAAAGCACTGGGAGTTTTGTTACCAATTTTGAGGCAAGCATCACCTCAAAAGTTTAAATCAAAAGCAGAACTGGAAGCAGTTTCTTCCCTTTGCACTGCTCCATTGAGCAGTTCTGTTTGCTGTGGGCAAACATAAACATGTCAGTCTTCTTAAAACAAGATGACTGTTAGAATACAGGAATTTGGGGGCCTTTCTGGAAAGGTGAAGAGAGTTACTGCAAACCAGGTGCGAATATCCCTAGCATCATGGCTTATAGTCGCATGGCACACGCCCAGTCATACCGTAAGACATCTCACCATGCTGAACCCCTGAGTTGCCCTTCCGATGGGCTTAATGGGCGAGGGGGGGTAATAATAATTTTTTTCTAGCAATAATGGGATACAAAATAGGGTTGTCACAGGGAATGGCTTAGATGTTAGCAGGGGCAAGGCAAGATCAGCAAAAATATTAATTAGGCCAGGCATCAGAGGCATGCGGTGTCCCAGCCAGCTGCAGTAGTAAAACTGTTGTGTCTGTCTTAAAAGTAAAGAAAAATTAAAAAAAAAAAGGAAAAAATAGGATAGAATTCATTTGTTGCAAGTACCTTTGTGTTTCTCATCTGCGTTATGTGGCATTCTTTTTGGGGTGGATTTAGAGGATGAACAGGAGATGTCAAGTGCAAAAGAGACATCGTTTCCCCAGAAGAAAAGGAAGAAGAGGAACAGGCCAGGTGCTGATTCTGGAACAACTGGGGGAAATAGTGAGAAGGGAATAGCTGAAACATCTGGATCTAATGTTTTTGGCCAAGGAAAGGTGCCAGAAAATAGCAATCCAAGGAAGAAAAAGAAATTGCTAGTAAATGAGGCAAATGAGACCACAAACGTAGCAACTGACACCAAAGGAAATCACAGTATCTCTGCGCAGAACCGTCCGACTGACGCCGAACAGAGTAAAAAGGGTCAGTTGAAGAAAAGGAATCCGAAAGTGCAAAATGTTCCTGTAAAACCAGCCTGTCGGAAGAGACCAGCTAATGCCAGTGGGGCAGGGGATGTCAGCCCCTCTATGACACCGTTAACTCCTACGGTTGTGAAAAAGAAAGAGAAAGCGGGGGCTGTCTTGGTGAATGGGGATGCTCTTTTGCTGCAAACCGACCTGAAATCCCACAAGGAGGGCTTGCTGGGGTCCCTGTCAGCAGGTGCAGACTCTGAACCTGCACCCTCCAGAAAGGTCAAATTGAAGATGAAGACAAAGCTAGTCAGTTTGGAAGGGGTGAAAGTCTCCAGCCAGAAAGCAGAAACCTTGAAAAAAAAGAGAAAAGTGAAAGAGATGCTAAACTCTCTCACAGACAATGGAGTTCTGGAGACTGTATGCAAGAAAAGCAGGAAAGGGGTACGTATATCCTATTCTTTTTTTCTGCCACCTTCATGACCCGACAGCCTCTTCTGCAAATTTGGCTTTAGCTTTCTGGGTCTGGGCCTCTGTGGGCAGGCTCTGTGTTGATGTCATCATGAATGGTTACCAAAAAGGGCTCAATTCCCTAAACATCCACACCCACCGCCACAGTCTTGCGCCCTCCTGTGCAACAACACTGAAGCCTCTGCCAGCTGCTCAGCTGAAAGAACTCATCGAGCTGTAACTTGGCTTGTTAGGGTATGGGCTTGTCTCTTGTCTTCATTTTGTTTCGTATTTTATTGATCCCTGGGTTAATGATTCTTTTGCTCTGGGTCTCTGGTTGAGCTCCCAGCGTGTTCACAAAGGGTGTATTTTGGCAACGGGATGAGAGTGGGAAGATGGAACACCCCTTTTTCGGCAGCACACACTGAGATTAGTGTAAGCTGCTTGTGAAATTGCCCACAGCAATTCCAGTAGTGGCTTCTTCTGCTAGCTCAATCTCCATCTTCAACAAATTGTTAGTGCTATACGGGGGAAGCCTTTGGGGAAAAAGTGAACAGAGAATATGGCACTGTGACCTTCAATGTCATCATTGTCTCTATAATCACATTTATGAATGGTCCAGTTCCTTATAAAGCAGTGCTGTGGGTTTTTTTGCTAGGAAGGTCTGATCATAGGCCTCTCCAAAAATTTGTCTTGCAGTTTGGGAACAAGCTAAGTTTTTTCCCACACCCATTTTCTTCATGGTAGTAAGTATAATATGGTTGATTTGGCTCAGTGATCTGAGAGTGGAGAAGCGTTTTGCACTATATATTTTTGGTAGCGTGGCTAAGAGAGAGTGCAGGGGTTCTTCCCTCTCCTGCCACTGGAATTCTTTTAACTACTCATTTCCTCTGCATATATTCACCTGAACACATTTAAGGGTTCAACTGTATTCTTGGAAGTCTTGCTGACAGTCTGACTTTGGTGGAAAGAAAATTCATAAAGCATAAATGAGATTCAGAATACAAACCAAATCCATTTTCAAGTGCATGTTACTAGGCTATCGGCTCACCTCTGTTTAACTTGAAAATTGTGATGTAGTTGAGTAGTGCAGCCTCATATGTGAACACATGTATGAAACAGTCGTGCAGGGGAGGGGAAAATGCATTTTGAAACATATGTAAATAGTATTAACATAGCTTTGACATTTTCTATTTTTTGATGATAAAGTACTGAGCGGGGAGAACCAAAACATTTCTCTCTCCCCAGCATGCAAACTGCATTTTTCTCACTGCAGGGCTTCCCAAGTATGAACTGGCTCTGTCTCCTGTTACTTAAATATTCCGTGTTGCATACCTCGTCTTTCTTTCTCATTAAAAACTTAGTTTCTAAGAAAATATGATTATGCCACCCCCATCTCTGTTTGTAAAACTCTGCTGCCACTGACCAACAGGTTCAAAGACCTGCAGTAGACTTGATGTTCCTGCAGGCATCACAGAAATTAGTTGCTGGCACAAGTTAGTGTAGCCACTGAGGGAAAGGCAGCAGCATGACCCCAGCACTTGTCTGCTGGCTGGCAGGCCGGTCAGTGCTTGGGCTAGTGGGCCGATCTTCCCGTGTGTAATTCCAATGAAATTACAGCATTTGCTGTTTCTTGCCCAGTCCAGGTAGCTGTGTGTATATGTCTGTGTTGAGTGGGAGCAGGGGGATGGAGACAAGGAGAGAAATTTCGGAGGTGAGTCAGGAGGAGAATGACAGTATTGGTATAAGAAAGAAGAGGGCAGGGTAAAGCTAAAATGCATGAATGTGGAGGAAATTAGGCTTTTCTAATTTTGTTTTCATCGCTTGGGAAATAACATGTTATTTCCTGGGTTTAGTTATGTAATACTGGTCTTGTGCCTAGAAATCGTAAGGGGCATGTTTTGATTCTTGATTTCAATGACAACACACGCCCCCAAAGAATTAGCTTCAAATATCAGGCAGGAGGAGGAGGGGAAAAAAACGAGATGTTCAGCATAATTTCACAGTTGTCTCCAGAATTCAGAACGCTAAAAGACATTTACACCTTTCACTTTATTTAAAGTAGAAGTGATTTTCAAATCACAAGAGGCCATATCCCCTGGACATTGTCCACAGCCTGGCTGCAAGCTGCTTTTGGAATTTCACATCTGTAGGGTGATGTGGAGCATAGCTGAACTTCCCCTCACAGTAGTCCACAGGTATCTGGGGTCCACAGACAACAGGTTGGAAAGCTCTGGAGCGGTGCACTTCATTAGTGGCAGTGCCAATATGGGTCCTAAGAATTGCCTTGTGCTGGAGAGAGGGTTTGCCTGGAGTGGCAATCCTCAGTATGAATTTGAGGCAGCAAAGTAGCAGCAGTACACAACAGCTGGATTTCTGAGAGTATAGGCAAGCGTCATACTCCACTTGTTATTCTCCAAAATCCCCATCTTAGCCTAAAGCTGGGTTTGTTCATTAGTTGTGTATCTTATGCATCCAGAGGTACCACAGAAGAGATTTTGCTTCAGGGCAAGGAAAAAAAAATCGGCACTTGTGAGAAGGAGAGCTGGGTCAATTGTAAGGCGGCCTCAGGCACATGTATAAAACATCTTTCTTTGCGCTCTGACCGACCAGGCAAATGTATTATGACTTCTTCCTTCTTTGCTTTGCAATGACCTTCCTATTTCAGCTCAGAGCCTACTTAAACTTCTGGTTTCAGCCATGCTAATGGCAAAATTACCTCCTGAGAGTTAACCATGACGGTTAGTTTATATGAGTACCAACTACCTTTCTCTCAGCTGTGGCAGTATTTACAGAAGCTGCGTGTGGTAGGCTCTGAGCACTGATCACTGTACTAGGTTTAGTTAACAACAGTATTTTTGTACTGAGAGCAATTTTTATCTTCCCTTCCTTTGTAGGAAAGTAGCATTGCTCTATCACTGTTAAAGAAGAAGAAGGTAAAATCAGGAAGTGATTTTGTAAAATTTGAAAAATCTTTACCAAAGTCAGTGTTCTTCAGGAAAGCCAGAAGCACCGTCTCTTCCACCAGGACAGCCATGCAGGTAATGTGCTCTCGCAGATGGCAGCTGAGGCTGGGCACAGGTCTCTACCCTCACTCATGGCCTCATTCGTGCTGTCTTTTCCACTTTGCATTAGTTCCCTAACACGGTGTCTTGGTTTTGATGGGATGGAGTTAATTTTCTTCCTAGTTGCCGGTACTGTGCTGTGGTTTGGATTTAGGATGTGAATATTGTTGATGACACACTGACATTTCAGTTGTTGCTGAGCAGTGTTTACACTTAGCCAAGGACTTTTCAGCTTCTCACCCCACCAGCGAAGAGGCTGGGGGTGCACAAGAATCTGGGAGGGAACGCAGGCAGGACAGCTGACCCCAGCTGACCAAAGGGATATTCCATACCATTTGATGGCATGCTTACCATATAAACTAGGGGGGAAGGTGGTGGAGGGGCCGCTGTTCAGGGACGGGACAGGCATTGGTCGGTTGGTGGTGAGCAATTGTTTTTCATTTGCATCACTTTTCTTTCTCAGGTTTTATTTCTCTCTCTTTTTATTATTTTCCTTTTCATTACAATTTATTAACACTATTTTTTTTTATTTCAATTATTCAACTGTTGTTATCTCAACCAACGGGTTTTCTCACTTCTCCTCTTCCAATTCTCTCCCCCATCCCACTGGAGGGTAGTGAGGGAGCGACTGTGCAGTGCTTGGTTGCTGGCTGGAGCTAAACCACAACACACGGGCAGATAAAACTGGAAGTGCTGTTGCATGTCTTTTAAGACAGCCACACATGACTCCAGGGTTTCAGAACATGAGTCGTAGGCATTTTTAAAATCTCTTAACATATGTTTTCAAGCTCTCCTTGCACTTTGAAGCCTGAGTGCAGTGAGGCCAGTGTATTTAATACACAAATATCTTGTTTGTTGAATTCCATAATGACGTTAAGGACAGTATGTGATTTCTGTACAAGTGGAATGTTTGGTTTTGGCTAGAAAAACAGTGCTGTCTCAGTGCTAGAGGATTGGGGGAATTGTAAATCAAATGAAGCAAGTAGGCTGCTTTGCATCAGTTCTGATGGGATGCTGGTAAAAGAACTCGTAGCATTGCCTCAGAAATCTTACTTCATGTCTCTGTTTTGCTTTACAGCCGAACAAGCTGCAGACGCCCAGCTCCAAAAAAGTCAGGTTTGGCTTGAATAAGAACATGACTGCTGGTGAGTCTAACACATCTGTCTGTCTCCACAGTCTCTCTTGCAGCTGAGGAAAGGGGAAGCTCTATGCACTCGTACACACCTATGCTTTTCAACTCTCTAGATGATTCTGGTCCTTTTTTGCCTCAATATGGTTTATAAACCATCCTCCAGTTCCTGTCCAGAGGAGACGGTCAAGTTTAGGACATTCGGCCCAACAGTTAGACTCGCACAATTCCAGGGGGCTGCGTCACTGACTTGCAGCCGGAGCCCTGTGGATAGAAATCAGTGCAGCAGAGCGGCAAACTCCTCCCTGAGCTGCCTGTGGGGCAGGGCACCTCTTAGGGAAGCACGTGCACTCCGGTCTTCACTGACCACTGCTCTTTGGCCAGACAAAGACACTGGTATGCCGAGGAGCTCAGGCTGTACAATAGCAACATCTCAGTTGTAGCTTGGCTGCCGGTGGTTTATTAACTGGATAGAAATCAGTGCAGCAGAGCGGCAAACTCCTCCCTGAGCTGCCTGTGGGGCAGGGCACCTCTTAGGGAAGCACGTGCACTCCGGTCTTCACTGACCACTGCTCTTTGGCCAGACAAAGACACTGGTATGCCGAGGAGCTCAGGCTGTACAATAGCAACATCTCAGTTGTAGCTTGGCTGCCGGTGGTTTATTAACAGTAACAAGTAGATAAATGTCACTTCCCTTCTAGTAACAAGTAGATAAATGTCACTTCCCTTCTGGATCCCACGTGTGAGCAGACAGTGTTTTCCCTGATAAACCACCATCCCTCCTTTTTTTTTTTTTTTTTTTTTTT